CGATTTCTTGTAGCGTCACCACTTTCTATTAAATCAATGTACCCGTTCAACCGTTTGGAAAATGGGTTTGTAACAATGAAGTCAACAACAGGCTATACTAGGCAACAACAGCTCACGCATTTTCATCGGACTTATGTTATTTTCTTCCTTTGTCATGACTAAAATCAATAAAAAGTATGCTCTCCACCATTGAAAAGAATCATGATCAGCGGATTGATCGAGATTTATGGAATTATTTGAAGATTTATTTGAAAGGCAAATCTCCACCGAAAGCAGACCTTTAGATAAATCTAATAAAACAACCGAGAACATCCACGACAGAGTTCATATCCGGTTATGGGTTATTTATCACATGGTATCTACCACCCATTTTAAATGCATTCCTTCTGCTTTTTGGGAAAATCCTTTTTCTCTTCGTTCAAAAATTTCGAATGTCTTGTAAATGTAGCACATTAAAAGTAAGATCACGAACTTTCTCCTCGCACCGATATAACCTTAATGCCTTAGCTGTAACTTACGTCGTAAACACTTCTTTTTTCTTCGTAAGACCTACAATTAAGAAAAATAAGATCACAATAATAATGAACATTTTAAATAGTAATACTAATAATGAATATAGAACTTACATTGCGCACATTCCATACAAGTATGTTCATATGCGCATGACAAATTATGAAGCTAAGGTAAGAATAACTAGCACTGATGCGAATTTACAAATAAAAACCTAAGAACTTCCAAGTCACTGATAACTGATTAACTTAGTCATAAGCTCGCTTGAAAAGTAGGTTTTAATAAGAATAAATTAATTTATAATCTTCGACGAGGCATTTGAAGTTAAATCCAAGACTTCGGCGTATTTAGGCAATTGAAGGGCCATGATTTCGCCCAAAATCATGGTAAACAGTATTATGATATGGCAAGATAGACTTGGGGTCAATCCAAGCATTCTTGAATAAATGCTCAGGTAATGAAAGACTATTTAAAAAAATAACGAAGTAAAAATTCTCGAGAACTCAAAGTTCACGGCAGCCGTTTTGGCTCTAACATGCAAATATTTAGGAAATGAATTTCATCAGTTTTTTCATTTTATTTTTGGATGATACCATATCTGAAGAATGATCTCAAACCATCCCACGTGAGAGCAAATTCTTACCTTTGTTTCTCTACAGTACCTAAGGAGGAAAAAAAGGTATAAAAACAGGATTCTTTGGATAGAGGTAAAAAAGGTTTGTCTTACTTCATGACGGATGCTGCCTCACCGCTCTAACGCAAGTAATGAAATTGTTACTCACCCCTCCTGTGTAGCCGGATTATGTAAATTACCAGAAGAAGGATTATGAAGGCAGGAATACCAATAAACGCTCTTAACATGACATCGTTACTTGAGCACTTGCATTCTTCAGGACCTAAATTGATTGGTTTCATGAGGCTTAATGAAGCAACAATTGAGCAATGTTTTACCCTGATCCTGGCTAAAATACTGATCTAATGACATGGCTTAGGCACGTGAACGAAAGAATGCTCACTATGACTGTCTAAATACCAAGGCAAAACAGGGTGTTACCCTCCCTGTGCAAGTTTTGGGAACCAAATTTTGTATGAATCAACACTGCAAAAACCAGTGAGCATGTGTTTCCTTCAAAGAAATGGCTACCATAAGAAAAGAAGAGAAGGCAATCACTGATAAAGATTTCCATAATTGTTTTTTTTTAATTTGGTCTGAAAAAGTTACTTTGTAACATGTAGCTTTGGTTGCAATTCCCAATCCATCTGTAGTTGTGTTTGAAGACAGCCAAGACGATGAATCGCAAAATCTCCATCAAACCAAATGGACATTGAATGGGTTTCTGATGCGAATAAAGCGAATACTTCTTACTTTGGTTATAAAAGTTTTCTTGGAGTCCCGTGAAGGAAAAAGGCAAACAAATAACGTAACGTTTTTTCTTAACTATTTCCTCTAAAACTTTAAGAGAAAACAAGGTCGACAATGTGGAAAGGTAAAATAGAGTAAGAAAGGTTTGAAATTTTGACACAAAAACCAATGTTGGCATGAAATTTCGCAAACGATTGCCTCGACTACGGTACCTAACCCGAGAAATGACTTGTCAGAGGTCTACAGTCTAACGTTTACAGGGCAGTCCTCGACCGTCTGTGACAGAGCAAGTTTATTAACCTCATAATGTTTTACTCGCTTCAGTTCGTAACATCGAAATACGATCTCTAGTTTTCAGCGTATAAAAAAGAAAAGCAATCACCTGTGGGAGTTGTTTGGGATGATGAAGTAACCGTTCTTGATGCTGGTTTAACTGGAGAGAAATGACATTGGACTTTTAAAACGAGACATTTTTTTTTGTTAATCTATCATTATTATTACGAACCCCTTGATGATAAATGCAATATTTCAGCTGGATGCTCCGATCGCAGAAACAGTTTTAAGGTGGTCCTGCATTACGCGATAATTTTCTAGGACTAGTATAACCATTAAAAGCCACATAGAAGTGTAATAACAATAGTGATGCAAAATTGTCTGAGAAATCCAAGAAGAGCACTTATTTCCAAGTGTTAAACAGAGGAGCGCAAGAATCAAAGGGAAAATTAAGTCAACTTGTTTCCAAGGAATCGATGGTCATGGACTATTTAATGTCAAGTTTTAAACAATGTGACTTGACGAATGTTTAATACAATTATGGATGTATGCATGTATACGTAAGAAAATTATCTTCCCTTGTAGAATAACAAGCGTTGTAGCATTTTAGCTCTCTCAAAACTTCTTCAGATTAATAAGCATTAGTCCCACTTACAGGGTTAAAAATTCAGAACACAGCAGATAGATGAGGGTCATAATCCACCCATTAATTTTCGCGCTATTTTATTGGCTACTTTAAGTCACGTGGTGGAGAACCGGACTGTTATCACACAATAACCCCATCTACGTCGATATTTATCCTCCTATTATTTCTGTCGAAAAGAAAAAAAGCCTTCGAAAAAGGCCAGCTTAAGAGTGTTATCTTCTGATCTCTATTATTCTACTCGGAAGAAAACAAATCGTTTGGTAGAGTCAGGTTAATAGCGAGATTAAAAAGCTTTCAGCCTTTAGAGACACTACATAACTAAATTTTACCATAGCTCATTACTGACCCCAGTGATGAACATATTACAAGCCATAAACACGTAATCTTAATCGCTCTGACGAAAGGCTAACGCTCGAAACGTCAGCTTTTTAACTCTTTACGGTGGCCAATTTACGTTTTCAACTCAGTTGTTAACACTAAATTTCCTGCTATACTCTCCCACCGACGCAGCACCACATCTAAATGTGTTTGAAAGAGCTTCTTGATGTATACCATCTCGGCTCTTGCAAAGTTAATTTCTAAAGTCAATCATCCTGAATACAATTTAGGGCTATCATTAAAGGTTGCAGTCGCATGCTTTAAAAAATCAGTAAATGGCACCACTTGCTATCTGTTGGTAGGAATAAGATCGCGACATGGAAGGTTTAATTGAATTACTGTCAAACATGCAACGGCCTTCTCTTATTCTGATTAGTCTATTTTTTATGCTTGTTAAAGATGCTAATAAAATGTACTCGTATCGTTACTCTACCTTTGGGTCGGCATACAACACCAGCGTCTTCATTATGCCTACAGTTCTCAACTCCCCATCCTTTGTGACCGCACTGAAATATAGATTTCTCATTTCCAAAACATCCAACGTCATCCAGCCATATCGGACCAGTTCCTTGTTCAAACGCTGCGGCTCTGGGTGCTGATAAAGCTCCATCGTATCCAAGCTGGCGACAAACTACATCAGCGTCTTGTAAGTCCCACCAGTCGTCGCAAACGGTTCCCCATGTACCATTATAAAACACTTCAACACGACCAGACGACAACGAATTGGTGGGGCTCACCAAACGAACTGTAATCAATGTGATAATATAAGAAAGCTTGTTTAACATTGTGAGGGCTCGTCATAAGATCTGTTTTTGTGCTGGAAACGATGACTGGTTCATAAAGGTCTAAAATGTATGTTATAGATGGTTTTACTTGTATCTTAGTTAGCGTTGATTCACTAAAAATAGCGTTATACGCAGCACTTTGTTAAAAGGGCTGAAATGAGTAAAAAATACAAAAAAAATAAAATCTGTTGGCTTCGAGTTTATTGTGAGTGTGTATCGCCAAATTACCTGCAGGTCGGCAAACTACGCCAGCGTCCTGATAGTGACGACAGTTGTGAGCTCCCCATCCAAAGTGACTGCAGTGTGATATCGATCTCTCATTTCCCACACATTGCACGTCATCCAACCATATCTGACCTGTTCCTTGTCCAAATGCTGCGTTACGAACTGCTCGTAAAGCTCCATCGTATCCAAGCTGGTGACAAACTACTTCAGCGTCCGGTAAATCCCAATAGTCGCTACAAATTGTTCCCCATGTACCACTGTATAGCACTTCAACACGACCAGTATGTGATAAATAAGAATTCACTAGACGAACAGCTATGAAGTGGACATAAAAGTTGATCAGTATTTATTAGTATACTAGTAAGAACTGACATATTCAAATGTACTATCAAAGCCAGGCAGCTTTGCCAATCTGGTGTGGGAAAACTTTCGAATAAAGCGCAGGATTAAAGTGAATAATAATAATAATAATAATAATAATAATACCTTTTTTATCTTAATAATGTTGAATGTTATTTTCCAAATAAAACTAAAAAATATCATATCAGGAAAATCAACTTCCGAGGGAAGGTCTTGAAAATTTAATATGTACAATAGAAAACTGTCTTGTTAATAACTGAAAATAACAGTTTTCCTTTCTAAAATTCTACAAACCAGATAATAATTTTTTATAAAAATCATTTAGCAACAAACTAATAATAAAAAATGCATCAATCCTCTTTTATAAATGCTTTATCTAGGAGTTTTCATTTGCTTTTATTTCTATGGATCAAAGATAAATCAAGGGCATAAAAATAAAAAACTGATCCATAACATGATAGTCGCATAGCTTCCGCTCTTCTTTGTAGCAACTAGCTCTGCGAATCTACAATGGTATCATTTACATTCTACCGCCGTTCCACCTGTATTATTCAAAATAGAAATATTGAGGAGTCCTTTTTCTCGAGACGCTCACAGAAATTATTCACCCTTCGGCGGGAAGCATGGCATTCGGCAAAGCTGTTTGTCCAGCCTAGTAAGACGACAGTCGATATTTACACTTGCGTCCTTTTAATTTTACTGTCGTCAAGCGATACAAGAAGACCGACTCGAAGCGCAGAGCTGAAGCAACCATCATCTTTCTACAAGAGGATAACGCTTTTCCTCACTCGAGGCTGCCATATTTCGCCAATTCAACGAACAAGTTTCAACAACCTGTCCTAAGCAGAGTTGTCTCACTCAATCCTGGCTCTAAATCATCCTTGCAAATGCTCTATTCGCTTGTAGATCATCGTAAATGTAAAAGAGTCAAACCGAGCAAATGTAAAGACTTTGAGGGTATGGACTACTTCGATTGAATTTTCCTCCCTGTCTTTATTGAACTAGTGTAAGGACTAATTTCATCTTAAATTGTTCCACATCATTCATAAATGCAGATTACTCGACACAAGAGGACAAGGACCTGTCTGCCTTAAATAAACGCCATAATGGCCTGTTAAACAATCTTCTTAGCCGAGGAGGTAGCCTTCTACTTTGCATCAGAGCGATTCATTGCAGATAATTACATCTTGGATCATTGAATAAGAATCCCTGGCTTCATATCAGTGAGGAATGATCGAGACAATCGAGGAGGCGGCGTAGTATAAAGAAAACCTAACTGTAAATCAAGTCTATAGATGGGATAATCTTGATGAAGGAGCCACAATGATGCGTCACCACTTCTGTGAGATTAGAATCGTTTCTGATCGGCTCTATCTACAAACCGTCCCTAGCGACTTTGATTCTGATTTGTTAGAACGACAATCTTACAAAGAAGCGGAATCGTTGGCAACTGAGCTGCGTAAATATCGATCATCGACCTGACTCGTATATAATACACCAAGAGGTCAGTGTTTTTGTGTGTTTCATATGAAGCTATACCTTATTGTGAAATTGTTTACCAACTTTATGCTAAGAAAAGACAATATGCCACACACTGACTAATAGCAGAGGATAATGACCTAAATTTGGGGAATGAAGATGCAACATCTCATTAATAATTAGTCAGAAAGCATTTTCCTAAGTAAATAACCTTTTATCCCGCGAAATCGGGAGGACCAACCCTAGCGAGACAGCCATTAATTAATTGGGAAAAATAGGTCGCTCCATGTCTATGGATAAATGATTTCAATATCTCATCGTCTTCCCTCATGAGAACTACATCAAAGGCTGGTTTACGCAATGCCTTGGAAAAGGCTATACATGAACGATTATCAACAAGAAGTAAGCCGCCATAGCGAGTTTTGGCATTTTGAACGATTGACACGTCGACCGTTAAGTGTTTGTCAGAGCACGTAAACCAATCCATTAATTTTCGCGCTATTTTATTGGCTACTTAAAGTCATGTGGTGGAGAATCACCGGGCTGTTATCACAAAATAACCCCCGTCTTCGTCGATATTTATCCAATTATTTCGGTCCAAAAGAAGCAAGGCCATCGAAAAAGGCCAGCTTAAGAGTTTTATCTTCTCATCTTTATTATTCTACACGGAAGAAAACAAATCGTTTGGTAGAGTCAGGTTAATAGCGATATTAAAAACCCTTCAGCCTTTAGAAACATTACTTAGCGACACTTTACCATACCTCATTACTGACCCCAGTGATGAATGTGCGCTTAAACTTAATTGAAATGTTTTTCAAATACCACTCTACCTTTGGGTCGGCATACAACACCAGCGTCTTCATTATGCCTACAGTTCTCAACTCCCCATCCTTTGTGACCGCACTGAAATATAGATTTCTCATTTCCAAAACATCCAACGTCATCCAGCCATATCGGACCAGTTCCTTGTTCAAACGCTGTGGCTCTGGGTGCTGATAAAGCTCCATCGTATCCAAGCTGGCGACAAACTACATCAGCGTCTTGTAAGTCCCACCAGTCGTCGCAAACGGTTCCCCATATACCATTATAAAACACTTCAACACGACCAGACGACAACGAATTGGTGGGGCTCACCAAACGAACTGTAATCAATGTGATAATATAAGAAAGCTTGTTTAACATTGTGAGCCATTTAACATGCTTAAACACTTCATGAAGGTCTATTAAAGTCAGCGACGGATTACAATGTGTATCAAAATAATAGGAATCTCCTTGAAATATTTTTGAAAGAAAGATTGTTCTGAATAGCTTGTAAGCGGAAATTTTACATACAAATTGATCCCCATGTATCACTGTATAGCACTTCAACACGTCCAGCACGTGGTTAATAAGAATTCACTAAACGAATAGCTGTAAAGTAGGCATAAATGTTAACCAGTAGTTATATTAGTAAACTAGTAAGAACTAGCATATTCAAATATCCTTTTTTTAGAAATTAAGTAAAACCACGCAGCTTCGCCAGTCTGGTACGGGCAAACGTCCCAATAAAGCGCAGGGTTAAACTGAATAACAACAATACTTTTTTTAATTTTAATAATCTTCAATGATCTTTGTTTTCCAAATAAACGTAAAGAATATTATATCAGAAAAATCAACTTCTAAGGGTAGTTCTTGAAAATTGATTATGTTCAATTAAAAACTGTCTTGTTAATAAATACAAATAACAAATTTCATTTCTAAAATTTAACAAACCAATTACTGATTTTTTTATAAAAATCGTTTAATAACAAACTGATATTAAAAAATGTATCAATATTTTGCTAGAAATGCTTTATTAAGAAAACAAAAGTCGCTTGCTACTATTCTCATGGATCAAAGATAGATCAAGGGCATAAAAAGAAACACAAAGTAGTATTCCTGCCTTTGGCCAGAGTTTCCCAGAAATAGCGTTCTCGATGCCTCAACAAATTTTTGCGTGTCCTCTTTCAATATCCATATCAATGTCCGACAATTCTAAATGAACTCTTCTAAAAGCTCGCGAACCTCTTTAGCAAATTAAAGTGATGTTGATCTCAGCAGGGCAAAGGACACACTTGCCCTGAGCCATAACGTGGTAGTCGCATAGCTTTCGCCCCTCTTTGTAGCAACTTTCTCAGTAAGTCTACCATGGTATCGTATACATTCCGCCGTCGTTCCACCTGTGTGCGTGTGTGTGTGTGTTTTTTTTAACACATTGAAGAGTCTTGTTCTCGAAACGCTCAAAGAAATTATTTATCCTTCGGCGGGAAGTATGGCATTCGGCAAAGCTGTTTGTCCGCCTATAAAGATGACTGTCGATATTTTTACTTCTACTCAGATTTCTCCCGTTTATCTTTCCCTGAACTTTTGTGTCCTTTTAATCTTATTGTTGTCAAGCGATACAAGAAAACCGACTTGCAGTGCCAAGGTTTAAGCCACCACCTTGTATCTACAAGAGGATAACGCTTTCCTCACTCGAGGCTGCCGTATTACGCCAATTCTACAAACGAGTTCCAACAACCTGTCCTAAGCAGAGTTGTCTCACTTATTTATGGCTAAAAATCATCCTTGCAAATGCTCTATTCGCTTGCAGATCATCGTAATTGCGGAGTAGTCAAACCGAGCGAATGTAAAGACTTTCAGGGTATGGACTTCTGAAATTAAATTTTTCCTCCCTGTCTTTTTTAAACCGGCACGATCACTACTACTATCCTAAATGGTTCCACATCATTCATAAAATGCAAAACTACAGAAGGTTTCTCGACAATAGAGGACAAGGAACCGTCTGTCCTAAATAACGCCTTAATTGCCTGTTAAACAATCTTCTTAGCCGAGGTAGTAGCCTTCTACTTTGCATCAGAGCGATTCATTACCGATAATTAAATCTTAGATCATTGAATAAGAATCCCTATCAGTGAGGAATGATCGAAACAATCGAGGTGGCGGAGAAGTATAAAAAAAAAACTAACTGTACATCCAGTCTATAGATGAGACTACTTGGCATCAGCGCGATTCATTACAGATAATTACATCTTGGATCATTGAATAAGAATCCCTGGCTTCATATCAGTGCAGAATGATCGAGACAATCGAGGTGGCGGCGTAGTATAAAGAAAACCTAATTGTACATCCAGTCTATAGATGGGATAATCTTGATATAGGAGCCACAATGATGTTGTTGTTGCTTCTGTGAGATTAAAATCATTTCTGATCGGCTCTATCTACAAACCCTCCCTAGCGACTTTGATTCTGATTTGTTAGAACGACAATCTTACAAAGAAGCGGAATCGTTGGCAACTGAGCCGCGTAAATATCGATCATCGACTTGACTCATGTAGTACACCTAGAGGTCAGTGTTTTTGTGTGTTTCATATGAAGTTCTACCTTAATATGAAATTGTTTGGCAACTTTATACCAAGAAACGGTAGTATGCTACACACTGACCAATAGCAGAGGATACTGATCTAAATTTGGGGAATGAAGATGCAACATTTTATAAATAATTTGTCGCAAAGCATTTTCCTAGGTAAAAGAAACCTTTTATCCCGCGAAATCGGGAGGACCAGCCCTGGCAAGACAGCCATTTAATAATTGGGAAAATAGGTCGCTCTTTGTCTATGGATAAATGATTTCAATATCTCATCGCCTTCCCTAATGAGAGCTACATCCAAGGTTGCTTTACGGAATGCCATGGAAAGGGCTTTACATAAACGATTATCAACAAGAAGTAAGCCGCCATGACGAGTTTTAGCATTTTGAACGATTGACACGTCGTCCGTTAAGTGTTTGTCAGAGCACAGCAGATAGCTGAGGGTCATAATCCACCCATTGATTTTCGCGCTATTTTATTGGCTACTTTAAGTCACGTGGTGGAGAATCACCGGACTCTTATCACACAATAACCCCATCTACGTCGATATTTTATCCTCCTATTATTTCTGTCGAAAAGAAAAAAGCCATCGAAAAAGGCCAGCTCAAGAGTATTATCTTCTGATCTCTATTATTCTACTCGGAAGAAAACAAATCGTTTGGTAGAGTCAGGTTAATAGCGAGATTAAAAAGCTTTCAGCCTTTAGAGACACTACATAACTAAATTTTACCATAGCTCATTACTGACCCCAGTGATGAACATATTACAAGCCATAAACACGTAATCTTAATCGCTCTGACGAAGGGCTAACGCTCGAAACGTCAGCTTTTTAACTCTTTACGGTGGCCAATTTACGTTTTCAACTCAGTTGTTAACATTAAATTTCCTGCTATACTCTCCCACCGACGCAGCACCACAGCTTCTTGAGAAACTTACCCCCTTTAATCTCTTTCCGCCTTTAGAGACACTTCATAGCTACATCTTACCATAGCTCATTACTGACCCCAGTGATGAACACATGCCAAGCCATATACGTGTAAACTTAATTTAAATGTGTTTGAAAGAGCTGCTTAATGTATACCATCTCAGCTCTTGCAAAATTTTGAATTTCTAAAATCAATCATCCTAAACACAGTTTAGGGCTACCATTAAAGGTTGAAGTAAAACGCTTTAAAGAATCAGGGAATAGCACCACTTGTTATCTGTTGGTGGGAATAGCATCGCGAAATGGAAGGTTTAATTGAATTACTGTCGAATATGCAACGGCTTTCTCTACTTCTGATTAGTCTATTATCATGCTTGTTAAAGATTGTAATAAAACGTAGTCGTATCGTTACTTTACCTTTGAGTTGGCATACCACACCAGCATCTTCACTATGCCCACAGTTCTCGACTCCCCATCCTTTGTGAATGCACTGTGATATGGATTTCTCATTTCCAAAACATCCAACGTCATCCAGCCATATCTGACCAGTTCCTTGTCCAAACGCTGCCTCTTTAGGTGCTGATAAAGCTCCAACGTATCCAAGCTGGCGACAAACTACATCAGCGTCCTGTGAGTCCCAAAGGTCATCACAAATGGTTCCCCATGTACCATTATAAAACACTTCAACACGACCAGAAGACGGTAGATTGGTGGGGCTCACCAAACGAACTGTGAGTGTAAGGATAAAATTTAGCTAGGTATACATGGTTAATCAGTGGGGAAGCCAACAGCCAACATAGGCCTTGTAATTTTAATTGCATTTGACGAGACCGTTCAACGGAATATACGAAAATATGAAAAGAACAACATCGGGAATACCCTTTGAAAATAGGTACTATACAAGTTTGGTTTAGTTGAATTCGCTCTGCTAATATCAAGGAGGTTGGAAAAACGAAAAATTGGGAGAACGAAGGAGAGTTTGTGTATTCTAAATTATATACGATATAGGAGAATCACCTCCTTACCTGCTGGTCGACAAACTACTCCAGCTTCTTAAGTATTCCCAAATTTGTGGGCCTCCCATCGTCCGTGATGGAAAGGTTAATTTCACTACTGAAAAATTTTGTAACGACTTTCACGTATTCTGATTGGCCCTTTTTTTACATGCTCGGTAAAAGTGGCAATAAAAAGTTTTCTCATCGGTACTCTACCAACGTAACCGAGCCGTTACCAGAGCCGTGGAATCTCCGGAGCCTTCATGAATGGAAAAACCACGCCTTAGAGAAGACGAACAAAGCACATGGTCGCACCGCTCATGACCTTCCTGAACTGAAAAATGAGGGCATCGTCCGAGTGAAATCATTAAGGAAATGCGCACAAGTGATTGACGAAGAAAAGCCAGCCTAAGTTTTGCATCAGGCTGACTGTTGAAAAGAAAGTGATTCTCCTCTACACAAAAACCGAATATGCTTTTTTTTTAAGAGCTTAGTAGAACCCCTAACTCAGTCCTTACTGATGCGTATGGTATTGTCGAAAGAATTGAAAGTCACAGTTACTATTGTTCTCTCGCTAGGTATATAACCGATGAAACAACACAAATGCACACAAACAAGTCGGCCATTTGCCTTTTATGGTTCACTCTCCCTATGCTCTCTTAGTCATTGTTTCGTAAAATATGACAGTTACTTTCAAGAGTGGTCTCCGAACGCTCATTGGTTTCTCCCGCGGATTTTACTGCTTAAAACCAGTCTTTCCACAAACTAAAAATATGTCTCTATGTTTCTAAGACGCGGGAACGGATGCAAAAGCTAGCTGAGTCAATCGTGTGTTCTATCTTTGCATAGTTTAACCGACTTCTTTCAATCTCGATCTGAGATCGAGTTTTTGACTGAGTATGGCAACCGAGAAAAATCGAACTCTCACAAATATACCCACACAAAATTTGAACAATCATCACATTTTTCAAAAGAACAAGCCTTGGAATTTTGTTTTGTCGGTGTCTTTACTAGAACAATGTCGACTGCTCGGCTATTCACTTGCCCAAAATTTACAAAATATGACAATGAACTCGTATCGTCTCCTTCAATCTCACCTTATTTGATTACCATTTCTTAGCTAAAGTTCACCGAGAAATATTGAGTTCTGAACTCCAAAGACCGGAATCAAGTAAGTTGATGCACTATAAGACTTACCAAGAACACTTGCTGCTTTTGGAAGAAGCACCACAATACCTGAAAGAAAAAGTTATTTTTGGATTAACTTTTGCAAGACCAGTTATGTGCACGAATACTCGATATCACCAGCCAGTAATTATTGTTTCTTCTTTG